GTACTGTTTTCAATTTGATATTTGTTGGTAAATTGCTGCTGTTGCTATGGTGTACACTGGGTTAGAGCTAAGACTAAAGCAGTATATAAGTCTTATTAAATAAATAAAGATTAACTGTGTTATCTTTAGCTCTGTTGTTCTTTTTAAAAACATATGCAATAATACCTTGAGTTAACACAGATCATAGACTGTGATGTGACTGAGTCCCTGTTAAAAAGACATAATGGTCCCATCTGCTTAATAATACATTTTCTATAATCCAGGAGAGATGGAGAAACCACTCAAAATATGTGTTTAAATTAATATCAAATAAAACAACTTCACTGGGACATGGTCCAAAATAGTTATGACATACATTGCATGCTTGAACTTTCAATATCAGAAACTTTGTCCTGTATCTTACCGTCAACTTGGAAAATGATGAGAAAGAACTGAGCATTGTGTAAAAATGCAAGAGCCTTTCTTACTGTTTTTAAATTAGACTATGACTAATTTGTTCTTAGTAATTCTGTTCTTCTTGGTCCCCAAATGCCTCAGAGACTATTGAGCAAATTAACAGTGTATAGGAGTTAATTAAAGGTTACATTGATATAACAAGCAATATGGGTGTTTCTCATTAACTCACACTCTGTCCCTATCTGTTCAATATATTAGACCAGTTTAAGTGTAAGACTTGTTTAAGGGGATATGTACAACGTATTTAGAAGCAAACAATGTGTTTTCTTTTTAAGAAAACTTTTACACCCAGCAAATTTTCCTGCAGATATGCCAGAGTTTTCTTTAGCAAATACATACAGTGAGAACAATATACAAATCATTAATTATTCATGAATGTTTATCTGGGAATTGCAGCCTACTTAGATGTCCAAGCATGTTCATCATTGGTCTTTTGCTTTTGATCAATTTAATTTCAGGGAACTGTTAGTGATGTGGAAACATTATTTGTAATGAACATAATTACTACAGACCTATAAAATTGCTAGTTTTTGTGTTTACCTTAATCACTTCTGTGTTTAATTATTTGAGTTTTCTCAGTTATTCCCATTATTATTCTTTTATTAAAGGAGCAATGAGTGGGAATTTTTCACAGAAGAGTTAGTGAAGTGTGTTATTAAAATAATAGTTGCTTCTAGAGTCAACATTATCAGTAACAGTACAACTGGTGAGGCATGCTGGTTCACTGAAAATGTGAATTCCTGGAGAGACTGGCCTGGCCCCATTGATCCATATGCTGACTACCTCAGGATTGCAACAATACAACCTGCATTACGTGGGGCTGCCTTTGAAATTAGTTCAGATAATGGTGGCAGGAGCAGAAATGCTGAAGAAAGCCACCATCTGTGAAAGAGCAAGACAGGACAGAAGGGAAATGAGCAGAAAAGATAACAGGGAAAGGAAGACAGCGAAAGCCTTATTTAGGACTTTGAAGGCAAGTTGTCCCTTCCAAGCAGTGGGTAAATTAGTTGGAGAAAAATCTTGTCTTCTTATCAGGTAAATAGCATGTATGTTTGGAGCTGTGATACCAACTTGGCTTGAAAGTCTTTGAATGGTTGCACCAAGTTCAAGGAATTACACCTGGTTGCCTTTCTGGAGAAAGACTCTTTGATTTATACTTAAAGAAGAAAAGAAACTAGAGAAACAATTTTCCTGAAACATGTTGGACTTTATAAAAAAGACCTTTGTAATAGCACTTGAAACCCCTTTTTTTAATGTTATAAAAAATTGGCATGTGCCTCCTATCAGACCGTAACGGATTTATTGTTATTTTTATATTTCCAGGAATGCTCTGACTTTAACTACATTGATTTTTCTTACTGTAAACTAATCCCATCATAAAAATGAACAAATAGAGGGGGAACCCCCAAACTAATTAGGTATATTTCTGTGGTGGTACTAAGAGAGGTTAAAGGTCTGTGTTGGTGTCTGTTTAGCAGTCAAGCAGATGAAGGGTAGAAAGGAGGGGGGAGGCTTTTAAATCTTATTTTTGTTAAAATTAATTGCATATCTAGAAGTTAGAAAAATATGTTCTATGTTTTTTTTAATTCCTGAGGGTTTTTTCCCCAGCAAAATTTGTGCTTTAATACTTAAGGAGTCAAATGTTGTTTTTATCAAGAACTCTTCTCTTACCTTGTACATGCTTAGATGCACTTTAATGTGGGTATGCTAGCTGTATTTTGTGAATTCTTAAAAAGACTTCTGAATTCTAAAGCACAGGATTTGGAGATTACTGTGAAGTTTGAATTGTTCCTGAATTTCCTGAAGTTACTATGGTAGAGGTTACTTTGGGGGAGGCAAGAAAGGGGTGCTTAAGTCCCTGATTTATAGTTGTGTCTGGGTGAACTGGTGAGATTTAAAACAGACCAAGTTGCTTTTTATTACTCCACTTACCTGTTAAGTTATTTTATAAATAATGTTAAATTATTTTATACTAATCTTTATTTCATAGTTCTGTAAAGTGTTTCTTAGAGGCCTTCATATATTTCCAGCTTCAGTAACTTAAATTAAGTGCACTTAAATTAGAGGCACAGTCAGCAAGGAGTGGTTTGGTAAATAAAAGAGTTTTATTTTAAACAATATGGCAACTTTTGTTTGTATATCACCCAAGTCACAGTTGTTTGAATTGATGGCCAAACAAATTCCTTAAATAAATAAATAATGAAATTGTGATGGCCCATGACATATTCTGCACTGTGCGTGTGTTTACATGTATAAAATTATAACATTCTAAATGGAATTGATTGTAAAAGTGGACTGTATTATTTGTGCATGTTACATTCCAGGCTCTATGTGTTACCATAGATAATGATAACTTGAGCACATGGGAATGAGGGGGGGACTTTCTGAGCGCTGTGTAATGATTGAAAAATCACCTCATATATAAGAAAAAAAGTAGAAATGAGGTTGTCATATCTTGGTGATCTCAGCTCTTCTACCCTGTTTTATTCAGAGTAAAATAAATGGTTGCTGGGAAATAAGGGCTTGGAGGCTGGATGTGTACTTCTACACAGACACAAATTGGCAAATGAATCAGAACTATGGGCTGAGAATCACAGATACACAAAATCATTTATTGTGGAGAAGCAATTCTGATCTATATATATCAACTGTGAATACATGAGATAATCACTGAAATATCCATAGCATTCATCCTGGTGATGGGAACGTGCAGAACCAAAGCTGGTGAATGTGGAGCATAAAATAGGTAAAATACGGTATTGCAGGTTTGAATATACCTTTTTTGTTGAGGAAGGAAATTAACAAGGAACTGATTATGAACAAATGCTGATGAGATTTTAATGAAAATGGGGGGGGGAATAAACAGGCAGGAAGTTATTTTGTTAATGCTTACTGAGTTTTGACAGTTTTAAATGGGAACCTTTAACAAAAAGCCTGAAATTATGCCCATTGCATCATCTTCCAGATCTAGCTCTAGAGCTGATGATGATTTTAAGTCAAGCCTTTCCCATCCCGTCCCATCCCCATGACATTTCATGGAGAATCTGAAATTCTTATGCAAAACCTCTTGCAGATTTTCCCATTTAAAATATTCAGTGAAATAACAGTGAGTGAAATGTTTGCCAAGTACTAAATGAGTCTTACACAGTTAACTGATGCTGTTTGATATCTCTTCATATTTTAATTAAAAAGATGTTACAATCTTTTTTTCCATTTTGATGTAGAAGAAACAATGTGTAGCAGTCAGTACCTGTGGAATAAGTCTGTCAGAGCACAATAGAAGAGCTGATATTTTGTTCTGCTATGTTGTTGTATTGCTTTTGTAGTGGGGTCTTTCTAATTTTTCACAAGGAGTAATTAATGTTTTTGTCTTTTCATCAAGTGGGCTTTAAGGACTTGTGCTTTATTACATGTGATATCTATGAACTAATGAACTGTAAGCCCATCCTATCAGCCATGTTGGCTTGACTCCTTTTACAATTTCAGCTGGATAATGGCTGTGACTGTGACATTTCTTCCTTTTTTGACTGGTTTTTTTGGAGGTGCATGTGCACTGAGGTAAATCAAGTTTTCCTTCCCTCTCTCCTCCTAGAATGTAGTAAAGTGAAATATTTCAGCTGTTCATAAATCTGCCCTTGTTAAGAGACCATTTTGGCAATTAAGCTGTCTACAATATTTGTTTTATAACGGGTAATAGATTTTTAAAACAATTTTTGCTCTGCAGGTGATAACACATCCCTATTAGGGTTCTTTTGCTATATTTTTCTATATTTGCTATATTTAGTTATTTAGGGCTAGGCATTTTTGTTTATGGGGTACATAATATCAAGATTCAGTACTGATAATATCAAGACTTAATTATACCATTGAAGAATACTGGTCATAGTCAAATCATGTTTGTCTGTTTGGTTGCTTATATGCAGCATTTTACCCTGCTTTTCAGCCTTAAAAGTTTCCAGAGTATCTTACAGAATAATTAGAGAGACTAATTTACAGAATAATTAGAGAACCAGTTTGGTCTAGTGGTTAAGGCACCAGGCTAGAAAGCCGGAGACTAGGAGTTCTGGTCCTGCCTTAGGCATGAAAGCCGGATGGGTGACTTTGGGCCAGTCACACACTCTCAGCCCAGCCCACCTCACAGGGTTGTTGTCAGGAAAATAGGAGGAGGAGGAGGAGGAAGGAATATTAGGTATGTTCACCACCTTGAATTATTTATAAAAATATTAAAGGCAGGATAAAAAAAATCTTTAAAAAATTAAAAACTAATAATTCTATTATTAGAATTTTGTGTGTAAATATGTTACATATTGTTATATGAATTTTCAAGAAGTTTGAGCACCTTATAGTTGCTTCTCGAATATTCAACAATTATCTTTTTTGCTTTAATGTTTATATTTCCTTTACATTTATAATTAAACTTTTTCAGTTTAAAATGTAAAGAATTCCCTCTTTTGTGCATGCTAGAAAGCATGGGGAAAATGCTTGATTCATCTTCATGATTCAGCTGCAGGTTCTAAAATCCTTGTTCCATCTCTCTGTTCTAGGTTGCTGTTTTCGACCTAGAAATGTGGTCTGAAAAAACCATTTTGTCTTGTTCTTGACATAAGCATCGTGATGTGGATTGAATAAATCAAAGGAACTGTTATTTTGAAAAAGAAAATGCCAAAGAAAAAGAAAAATCTTGGAGTGAGCCCATCAAGAAAGAATATAAATTCAGAGACAGTTGCTGCTACTGTTGCTGACTCAGCCTCCTCGCCAGCTGATCCAGCTATGTCACAATTATCCCATGGGATCAATAAAGAAAAACTCATCAGCAGGCTTTCAGAAATGTTCTCTGACTTGGATCCTACTGTCATTTACATGATGCTGTCTGAATGTGATTTCAGAGGTAAACCAAATCAATATATACTGTCAATTTTGTCATTTCCCTACACCAAAGGCAAGGCGATCTAAAGTGGTTATTTCCCTCCCTCCCACTCTGTAGGCAGGGCTAAAAAGGATGCTGACATTGATTCCTGTTGGAGGGAACAATTCCAGCTCCAGGGAATATTCCATCTAGTGGCTGGGACCGCTTCAGCCATAGGTTGGTTAGATCTCTTTGGTTTTTCTTTTATTTATATAGATCTCTTTGGTTTTTCTTTTATTTTTCTGTTATTTGCCTTTCGCCTTCTGTTTTTGAGCTTTCAGCAGAGCCAGTGCATTATCCAAGGATACCTCAGGAAATTTCTGATGGGGGAGGGAGACTGGCCAAGGGACTCAGCCTCCAACCATGCTGCAGTGTGCTGTCTCACCTCCCCAGTGGTCCCCCAGGATAGCATGTTTAGTGCCGTGGTTCCTGATTTGGGCACCTGATTCCCCCCTCCCCAATTTGTTGATGGAACGGCAGCATCTGAGTTACTAAATTGGCTCTACCAGATAATGCACCCTGATGAAGCCCCGATGACTTTTTGTTTCTCAGAAGCCCCCAGGGTAGGCAATAGGGCACTTCGTTGGACAACAACTTTCCTTTTTCAAGTTGGCAATCAGGGAGAAGTTTAATGTTGTTACTTGAATCATGAATAGCTGATATTTGTAGGATTTTCTCCCTGATTTGGGGAGAGTTTGGATGAATTTCATAAGGATTGTGACAGGTGCAGTGCTGGATTGCGTTCCAGTTAGGACTGGAGGTTTGGAACAAAGTGCGAACAAGTCAGTGCTCTCCAGGGAAGTGGAAGGAATTTGCTGATGGCCTTCCAGTGTTGGAGACGTGGGTCCTTGTGATGGTGATTTAGCCAGTTCAGTGTGCTTCCATCCATGTTGGGGAAGTGGAGACTGGGTTTGTTGAGGTGGTGTGTGACTGGCCTTTCAGGAGACCTGTCCAGACATTCCAGTCCACCCGTTCAACAGAAAGTTCCTTAGATCTGAATACCAAAACGTCTGTTACAATCTCTAGACCTTCCAATTTTACCCGTTGTTGGCTCTCAGAGTATTCATGAAAGAGATGGTGACTCTCATAGATCATCTCAGATCTCAGAATCTTGGACAGCTTTCTGATTTCCTTTTGACAGCTTCATTGGGGTCACAAAGCCTCTCAGAACATGACTTATAGGTGGATCAAGGACTGCAGCAACTAGTTTATGGGACATAGACTAAGTCTGCCACACAGGGGATTGTGGCTCCCTCCACTAGAAGTCCAGCCATCTTAGTCACCCTACATCCAGTATTGCTGCCTGCCTGGGAGACATCTTTAGGATGTCACATGATTTTCTGTGTCTTCCTTAATAAAATAATATAAGATTACATCTTACACCTTGACTGAAGCATAAAAGTTTGGCCGGGGAGTACTATTGAAGATAGTTTGCAACAAGAATGACCCCCCCCCCAATGGATTCGTCCCCCAGTGACAGCTCCAGTGTGTCCCATTTCAGAATATCCTGATTCTGCTGAGGAAAACAGTACAATAGCTTTACTATGAAGGTTTTTCTACAGCAGACTCAGCATTGACAGAAAAAAGGAGATACTTATCATGGAGCCTATCCATATTTGCAATTTAGGTGGGCTGTAATATACACATCTCGTATTTCTATCTTCTCTTTCTGAGTTGTCATTCTAAAACCAGGGAAGAAAACTCCTTCCACATGAATCAGCGTTAGAATCCTTTCTAGACCTCTCTCTGGAGCGGGAAGGAGATATTCACTTCAAAATGCCTTGTCTCCGCTGTAGAAAAAGCATCTTCTCAGTAAATCCAGTGTATCACTGAGCTGCCCTAGAATAGTTGTGATTATATTTAGCATGTTTAACTTTTCAAAAGGTTATTTTACCTTTAAAGGTAAATCATAATAGAAGAGGTTATGATGTATATATGTATCTCTCTCACTACTACAGTAGCCAAAGTATTTGAACAAGAGTTGATGAGGGGGAAATAGTAAATAAAACACATTTATTTGGTTTAAGAATTGTGGTGAAATTCTCTCTTAATCCTATTTAAAGGTGTCCATTAACATTAATCAGAATGGTGGTAGTAGTCATTGTTTTAAATAGAATTGAGAATCTGATTTTTGCCTTATATGCAAAAGAATTCCAATATAGGAATTATTTTTATACAACTATTTAAGGTGGAACAAATTTGTTTCTTCTCTGTTAACCTTGAAAGAAACAAACAGCAACATCCTAAGAGCCTATGGTCTCCACAACAATATTTAGATGTTAAGGAAAAAAATGCAGGTGCTGAAAACTATAATTTTCCCAGTAACGGTCATTTGAAAAAGTTATAACTTTGTTTTTGTTGTTGTTGTTTTGACTGGTCTTATTAAGTAATTTACTAATGATTTTTATGAAATTATGTATTTCTGAAATGGGAAAGAAAGAATAGAGAATTCCTGCTCTATTAGGCAAGACTAATTTTCATATGCCATTTTTAAAAGGGTTGTGTATCAAAATCAACTGGTTATATATGTCCAATTTTCCCGAAAGAGAGAAGACTGAATTAAAAATGACCCCCAATCCGTAAAAGAAGGCTAGCCAGGAAAAATTAGAAATACTGTGAAAAATTCTAAGCAGTGCCTATCTTTACTACATTCTTAACATAAGGTGGCTGGACTCCAGCAGGAATTAATTCCAGAGACTTCCCCCTCCCTAGTAAATGTGAATCTATGACACACTTGAACATAGCTGTACCTATACACACCTGCCACTTGCTAAAAAGGAGCAGAGCAAATGGAGGAATCCGTTTTGTACTTAGTTACTATATGTTACAGGGAATTAATTTTGCTCCATAGTTATGAATTCAACCAATTGGTAACAATTGATTAAAATTAATTCCCTGTAATATATTGTAACCAGTTATAAAACTGATTCCTGCATTTGTTTACACCAACCGTTCTCTCTCATGTGAACGAGCCATTCCCACCCCTAGAAACAAACCAGCAGACACACACGCGTTCCATTCTCCTTTCAGTAGAAATAACAACAAAAGAAGAAAAAGAACTAGGATGGACACGGGAAAGGGATAGTTGCATTGGGAAGGAAATGGAGAACAAGACTGGATGGGGAGGAGGTAGCAGGACAACAAAGGAAGGAGAAAAGCAAGGCACTTTATATTTTATTGGAAATCTTGAAATTCACAGGCAAGCAGCCTCTCCTAAGCTGTGTCTGTTTTCTTAGCAGTAGCAATTGTCTGGAGGCATTTCTGTCTCCCACCTCTTTCCTTTCAAGAGTATTCAAGGACAATTCTTCCCCCTATCCATAAGGATTTGGGGAAAAGTTCCTACCTGTATGCTTACAGATTGCATCCTCTCAATTCTGTTTAAAGTCAAATTTCTGGTAAACAGCTTAGTTCTGATTGCGGGGGTAAAACAGCATCGCAGCTCCCCAAAATGAGGCACTGTACAATTGAAGCATTGGAGCAGGCACGTTGCTTGGACAGAAACATCTTCTGTGTTCATAGAAGACTATCAGCGGCTGCTGCAATGAGTTGATTAGACATGGAGCACCACTTTGCTTTGTGGATCAGTATGAAAAGACCTTTTTGTCAAGATTAGTAGGCACCGCTTCAGAGTTTTTTACAAGCCTAATACATACAAGAAGTCTACAGGCAGGACGTGGAGTGCTGCAGAGCCTCTAGGAATGTGAGAAAATGATATTTAGAGGTACCAGTGTCTTTGATACTGGCAGTGATATATCTGTCATGACTAGTAGCTTTTGTTAACTTTATCTTCATGAATTTGTCTGATCTCACTTTTACCAAGTTCTATCTTCAATGGCTATCAAAGGAACCAGATGTATTTTTTTAAAATGTGAGTCCTCTCTTCTCAGTGACATCTTAGAATCCACATTCTTTAATAAATCCATAACTCACATCGCTTTGTTTGTTAAAAAGACTTTTTAGCTGTCTCAATTTTTCTTTATTCATTAAATTTGCATGAATATTCAATGCCATTAACTTAATGTAATACTTGCAATTTTCTTTTGAAGTTGCATCTAACAAATGGTTTTGCACACAAAACACCTAATTCAAATTCATGTTTAATTGAGGCACAATATTTAGAACAAGTATTATTTTTTAAAAATTGCTTCCTTGTAGTTCACTCAGTTAGTTCAAGGCACTGCTCTTTGGCCCTTAGGTAGCCGAAACTATGAAGAGTATCCTTTAATCAATCTTTTTTTGAAGAGAGGGCAAAAGTCACTAAACCAGAAGCTGCAAGACGTATAGAGAATCAGGTAATCTTTGAATGAAAATTAACTGCCTTGTTTATTACTGCAGTGCTGTTGAAGTTGGTGTGTAGAATAAGGAATAAGTAAAGTAATTGTTTTCTTTCTTTGTTTTTACTAGTGGATGACACTATGGATTATCTACTAGAATTGTCCACAGCTGCTAAGGATACAACATCTTCATCAAAAGTCTCAGGTTTTGATTCCCTGTCTGCATTGCTAGTTGGTGAAAATGACTCAACCTCTAGTACTTATGAACTTGAGGGTAACAATACTACTGCAGTTGCAAAGTCTGGTGAAGAATCACAGCAGCCGTTGTCATCTGAAGAACTGGCTTTCTTCATAGATAATTCTTTTGAGAAATACAGTCTACAGAGTGAAGCAAAGGAATCAGAAAAGGATAATCTCTTAGATAGCCTGACTCTGGCTTGGGACCACAGTAATTCCGATTGTACTGAATTATGTGTAAAATCCAGTTTGCTTTCTTCACAACAAATGGAAACAGATGGAAAAGAAATAGAAAACTGCTTCACTCCATTGAAACCAAGTTACTATGAAGCATCTGAGTTGGCTTCCACATCGGAGATTCAGAAGGATATTTTTGCACAAATCCCTGAGAATTCTAATTTGCCAGAAGTTGTACTTGACAGTGGTGCAGTTTCAGAGATCATTACATTAGCCAACGAGGCAGTGTCTTATATTGATCCAAGTCAAATACAAAATGTTTTACTTGACCTTACAACAGTAAGGACCATGACTGCTCAACACTGTCAGGGTTTTGCGAAAATAGAGACAAATGTGTTTCATAATTCTCATTCTTCTTCACAGGACACTGAAGAACAAGAAAATGTAGTGGCTGTACGTAATAATCTTAAAAAATCTTCAGTTCCTGACCTATGTGCCGAATCTAGTTTTAAATTAGCACCTTTTACAAATGTTGATTCTTCTCAGCAGATGTGGAATTCACAATTTTCTCAGTTTCAGAAACATTCTCAGGAGCTTACTTTTTATCCAGCTTTCGATTCACAATGTACAAATCACAGTTTTGTGACTCCTATTGCAATCAGCCCTGGGAAGTGGAGACCTGCTTCAGACTGTAGGAGTCTTGGAAAGACATTTTCCTCTCCAGCAGTTTCAAAGACCTGGGAGAACATCTCTTCTCTACCAAAGAGATGGGGATATAAAGATGGGCGACAAAGAAATAATTTTTCTCAAGTACATCAGTTGCCTGGTGGTCACATAATGAACAGAAAGACTTTTACAGGTCACGTGCTTGTTCTTCTTCGAGGGCTTCCGGGATCAGGCAAATCATATTTGGCAAGGTAGGTTAGACATACGGAAGGTTCAGAAATAGGATGTTATTCTCTCTTTCTTGCTCACACACAGATGCATCATTAAATTATGTCTGTATCCATACTCAAACTCAGGGAGGCAGTGAAGGACAGGAAGGCCTGGCGCGATATGGTTCATGAGGTCATGAAGAGTCGGACACGACTTAACAACTAAGTAACAACAAATCCATACGCAAGCCAGATTCTCTTCTAACCATATATTGCAGACCAAATCATAGTTTTATCTTCTCATTTACTGTACACAGAAGCCATTGCTTCCCTTCAATTCATGATCAACTCTCAAATAGAAGAGTTTGCTGTTACACAAAGCATGTAATTTTAAAATCGTTGCTTGACTTACTAACCATCTTTTGCAAGGACTGAAGGCTTCTCGTTTGTTTGTATGACATTATAAATTGCAACCATTATGGTATGGATATGACAGCTTATGAATGTGTTGCTTCTCTTACTACATCAAAAAAACAACACATTATTTTAGTTATTTTCTGAAAGATCTAAATAGTGAGAGTCACAAGGATGAAAGAGATCCAGTTTTACTTTATCTGTGATTTTGTAGAAGATCAGAAGAGTGTGTTGAAAAGAAGATTAGAGCTTTGTTTATCATTTTCCACAGGGCTTTGCTTGAGGATAACCCTTGTGGGATCACTCTTAGCACAGATGACTATTTTTATCAAAAGAACGGGCAGTACCAGTTTGATGCTGATTGTTTAGCAGAAGCACATGAGTGGAATTGGAAACGTGGTAAGAATTAGATACAGCAGAAGAGCAGCTGCTTAGAAGTACAAATTCTACTAATCCTAAAGGCTTCCCTGGAATATTTGTGCCAGGATTGGTGCTAATTGTATCTGCAGTAGGCACACATTGAACATCTGCAAAATTAGAGTATTTCAGATAAAATACACATGCATTTCATGTCCCCATGCCCCTAGCCAACTGAAAAACTCATCCTTGGTGAATCATATATGGAATTAAACTAACAAATAGTGAGATGGGGGGGATATAAATTTGATTAAATAAATAAACATATTAAAGTAAGGAAAGACTGCTCATAGTCACTCACATCTTAGTCACTGCCCAAATGGATTACTGCAACACGCTTTACATGGGGCTGCCCTTGAAGAGTATTCAGAAGCTTCAGCTGGTGTAAAATGCAGCTGCACCGAGAGTTATGGATGCCGGTCATTCAGCACATGTTACACCCCTGCTCCACAAGCTGCATTGGTTACCAGGATACTTCCGGGTGCAATTCAAGGTGCTGCTAGTCATCTTTAAAGCCCTTCATAGCTTGGGGACAGGTTACGTACGGGACCATCTCTCCCCTGTGGTGTCTGCCCATTCTGTTAGATCTGGCAGGAGAGGCATGCTGTGGGTCCTGCTTGCGAGAGTGTCATCTGTCAGGACCCAGGAGGGGAGCCTTTTATGCCATGGTGCCAGCGCTCTGGAACATCACCCCTCCCCGCCCAGAAATTAGACTTGCCCTGGCCTACTAGCCTTTTGCAAGGCACTAAAGAACTGGCTTTGCCATCGAGCCCATGTCATGACTTATTTGAGTGGTTGTGAGACTTCTCGGCTGCTATTTTTGTGTTATTTTTGTTGCTTTTACATGCCCAGAGTCAAGTATATGAGATGGGCAGCCTATACATTTACTAAATAAATAAAAGATATGTTGTTTTAGAGAGAGGGAGTTTCTTTTAAAATGTACTGGAGTTTTAGTTCAATATGTAGTGCATTACAGCCATGTGGATTATTGTACACATTGTGAATTATATTATGTGTTTTTTTTTTTTACTCACTTTGCCTGTATTTGAAATTCCTGCAAATTATTTCAGAAACAGAGAACCTGAAGAATTTAAAACAGATTGTCAGAGAAGAGCTTCATACATCTTTAACTTTCTTTTAAATAACAGTAATATAAATTGTTGATTTGTTTACAGTTAATTTTTTTTTCCTCTCAATTTATTCGTCAGCCAAAGAAGCATTTCAGAAGAGGATCACTCCTATAATCATAGACAACACAAATACGCAGGCTTGGGAAATGAAGCCTTATATTGCTTTGGTCAGTATTCCATATTTTTAGTGTTATTGAGCTGAACCTTGTTTAAGTTTTTTGTGGGTGAATGGATGAGTGGTACTATAGCAGCATTGTTCACAGGGCGTGGTCAAAAAAATAAAGACGGCCACGATAGTGCAGTCAAAGCTCTGCCCATTGTCTATGTGTGTTGCACAAGCACATAAAATACAAGCAGAGCCTTGATTGTATTGTCATGGACACCATCTTGAATTTTTTTGCCATACCCTGTGGGTACACTGTTCCTATAGTATTCCAGTCTGGGATTAGGGAGCATGACAGCCGCAAGTATCGTTGCACCTGCTAATACTGTACTGAGTTTAAACAAAGCAAAACAAAAACAGGACAATTTTTTCAGGAAGGTCAGGAGTGCTTTGAAGTTAAGCGTTCTTTTTCAGCAACCTGCCATCTATCCCCTTGGCTGCAACGTAATGTTGTGGTCTATGTTCTTGTGGACTAATTAGGTTTTGACTGACTCTCCTTTGTCTCGTAGAGAATCCAGTTTTTGAACTGGAAACCTTTCCTACATAAATACATATGATTCAAATTAATTCCAGGGCAATTCTTTTATTTTGTTTTAGCCCTATCAGGTTAGAAACCCCACCTTTAGGCATAAGCTATGAGAGGATCCTGATGGGAGAGAAGGACTGGCTTAAAGCTTGCACATTCCAAGCCACAGGGGTAATCCTCTGAATGGAGCCCAGGTTGGAGAAGTTGTTAGTGTGTCACTTATCAGCCTTTTGGCTGAGATCAAGTATGACTGTGTAGTGTGGTGCAATCTTATTCACATTTACTCTAAAATAAATTCTATTGAATCCAGTGGGGATTACTTATACGTAAATATGATTAGGTTTGCTGTCTGGGCTTAAGCTCTGAAGACACTGTAGAAATGAGACTTGAATTTTACATAAGGTTTATGTAATATTGCATACTTTTATTTTATTTTATTTTAGTATTTATTTGTGACTTCAAGTCAGTGTTGACTCCTGGCAACTGCCTGGACTATTCCCATCAGTTTTCTTGGCAAGTCTTTGCAGAAGTGGTTGGCCATGGCCTTCTTTTTCCTAGGGCTAAGAGAGAGGGACTGGCTCAAGGTCACCCAACTGGATTTGTGCCTAAGGCAGGATTACAACTCACAATTTCCTGATTTCTAGCCTAGTGCCTTAACCACTATACCAAACTGGCATCACATCATTATACAGGCATAATTGTTTTGAACCATTTAGGATAATGGTTAAAAAGGTAAGTCAGGTTGAGTTTGATTCCTGGTAACACCATGGATAATTCCATGGCATTTTCTGGGCAACAGTACCAACAGGATTTGCCATTGCCTTCTTCAAAGATGATTTCCAACTTCCTAGCCTAGCCTACAGTCTTGGGATTTCTTGAGGTTTCTTGACCCATTCCTGCTTAGTTCTCTCACCCAAACAAGGTTGTCCAATGCTCTACCTTTCTGGGGTGTCATGACAGTGGAGCCTGGATAATTTCAGGAAGAACGAGTTCATGAAGAACTTGTGACCAGCAGTGATAATGAGTAGAATCCTTTCTAATTAGCAGCTGATCTGATATTTAATTCTTTAGCTGCTCATTTGTAAGTGTAAGGATGGTGATATGTCTTCTTTTTTTGTTTTTACATTTTTCTTCAGTCACAGCAACACAAATACAAAGTTATATTTCGTGAACCAGATACATGGTGGAAGTTTAAACCAAAAGAATTGGAAAGGTAATAATAGTAAGCATAATAATAATTCTATAACAACATTACTGTGTAACATAAATTAGAAATAAATAATAAAATTATCTCAGCTAGGAATGAGCTTAACTACGCAAGGGTAGTTTTTACTGAGCCTATATATGCCTGTTCTAATTATCTATATTGCTGCAATGCTATTCATTGTTTTTGCTTAGTGTTTATTGGAATTTGTAAGGTTTCATGGAATAATTATGAATGGCAACTTTATTTTCTGAGAAGTTGTTTTTACCTCAGAAATATTACCTTCTTTTGAGTGTAGGCATTCATTTAAACAGCCTCAAGAGAACGTATTATTGTTTAAGTTGGCATTCACAAAAAAACATTTGAGAACAACTAATCTTCCTGTGGACTAATTGTTTCCCTAACTGATATAAAATGTAATGTTTTAGAGGTCAGTCTTTTTTTTTTCTACATTTAAAAAAGTCTGTAAATAGACTTTGCGGTGTCATGTAAAAAAAAAAATTACAATTCAGTTGCAATTTTGGAAGGGCTCTAGAAGTCATACCTAAGACTTTGAAGAAAAAACCCTTGTTTAGATGTGACCAGAGTGTGAGAAGTATTAAGTAATGCTCTTGAACTGCAAATTGACATGAAACAAATGTAGTTAGTTTTTAAAAACATATCTCAAATATATTAAAATTGCATGCAGTATGCCTGTATTGTGGTGGTAGCCTATCAAGTATTTTGTTCTTTTTGATATTTAGGCGAAATATTCATGGTGTATCTAAAGAAAAGATCAAAAGAATGTTGGAACGATATGAACATTGCCTGACTGTTAATTCAATTTTGAATTCTTCAATCTCAGATGAAATGAAGAAGAGTGCAACCTGTGGTGAAGCTCTTCATCAGGAGAAAAGACAGGGGTAAATTGAACGTGTCTCCTCTCTACAATGTTTTGAGTTTGATATTTAAAATATGAAGGTTATTGTCAATGAAGCTAAGTCCTTTTGTCATAACCTAGTGTCAGCCCCACTAGATGGGCTAAACCAGGAAATCACTCCACAGGAAGACTAAAACTGTTTTTATTGAGATTGATTATAGTAACAGAATCTTGCAAGTCCGATTGTGCTGTACTTCTTCCCCCTTCTTATGAATTAGGTGAATTAGGAAGGCATCTGAGCTGCTTCTCAATGTTATCTCACTATTTTGGACTTTAAAGATGCTTCAGCCCCTTTTGCCCAGCCAACGGCTCCTGCCTGCCTCTGTCACAGCCACCTGTCTCTGCACCTGTCATTGTAAAACACAGTTATGGGAAATGTTGAGTGTCCTCCATATCATACTCTTAGTTCATGGAGCGCAGTCAGCCGTGGTTGGCATGAGCCAAACATTTCTTCTCGATTGGCACTGAGACAGTCCAGCTCAAATACAGCTTGGGTGGATTTTTTTCACAAGCTATCTCCGCAGGCCTTAAAGAGGTTCTGTCTCCAATGAACCAGTTTCTCATTTCCAGGCTAGTTAAAAATCTGATTATTGTATTGGATAGCCAATGTGATCAGGGCCCTATTGGGGAGGGAAGAAGTAGCTTTTCACCTCCCCAGTGCCATTCCTCCTTCCCTACATCTGAATCATACCTCCATACTAATTTTAAAAAGGCTCCATCAGGTTCAGAGGAAGCATTTATCATATTTTATAATGGGATAGGTAATTTTCAAAAGAATTGGGTGACAGTAAGATGAGTGTAAATGAGGAGAGAATAAGGATGTGTGACACCAGGAAGGTGCACTGGGCACTTATGCTCTGCAGTGGAATAGTACTACCTACTTTGGGTTGTGACCCATAGACCGGGGTTTTCAAACCATTTTAGGCCTGGAACCTGTTAGTTAAAAAAAACAAATCCTGGGACCCCTGATCTGCAAAATGGATGCTGTGATCTGTTTTTTTCATGGGAGAACAATGAACACCCTTTTCACTGTACCTTAGAAAGAATGGTACAGAAGCCCCGGCTGTGCTCAAGTTAACCTTTTTTAAAAATTATTACTCTTGGTCCTTCATGGAAGCCAGGTTCTCACAGAACCCTAAGGCTCCATGGAACTCAGGTGGAAATACCCTGCCATTGACAATCTGTAGGCCCAAATGACTTGGCCATAAATCAGTTTAAGAACTTGCCCCAGAATACCATGCTCTACAATGATATTTGTGAGAGTTCCTAGGCAGGTAATTCATGGAACAGTTTCGACGAAACCTCTAAAATAGAAATGATATGATTTGCTTTGATATTTCCATGCCGCTTTTCCAACGTTTTCCAACTGAGCTCAAACTGGTTCTCCACACTAGCAAAGTAAGTAACATATAATATTCTGTGTAGATAGTTGCTACAGTTATCGTAAAAGCATATTTTTATATGTCAAGCTGTAGACAAACTTCATATCTGGCAACAGATTTTAATAAGAAAAAAATTAGAATAATGTGCATAATGCTAATAATAATTTCTTCATCTGTTTAGACCTCCCTATTCATTTCAGTAGAAGCAGCAGACTGAAATACACATATCTTTATATTCACATATTGGCTTTTTCTGTCCATCAGCTCAAAACAGATGCGGTATGCTCCATCTGGTTTTAGTTTAGAACCTTAATGAAATTTTAAGGGAAACAGCTGTCTGTGTGCTATTTAGTATGGGATTCCTTAAGCATCCAGTCTTTGTTTCAACAAAAATCCTCTTTTGTCCAAGGGAAATAGTTTTCAGTCTTCAGCCAGTCCTTTAACATGCTTTGTCTTCTTCCTTTTATATGCCTATGCCATTTTAGGTTATGTCCTAAAATGTTTTAGCAGAAGTAAACTTCACTGATATATGCATTAAAATATATATATATATATATATATATATTTGTCTTGTAGGAAAGAAGAACAGGAAGAACATTTTGCTTCCTCTTTGAAATGTGTAGAATTAAATACAGATGAAAAAACTGCTTTAGAAAAAGCTATGGTGGAAAATCAGAACCTTCAAAATGGAAAGAGAAGAGTTGGGCATGATTTACAAGAATGCAATTCTGAATGTAGTATCCCTTTAGATTGCTTGGACACTTATAGTTTACCAAGAGGAGACAAAATGTATTCCATTCTTGAAACAGACTTAAGACCAGTCTCAGATTCCAGTGCCAGTGAAAATATTCTGTTGTGCAATAACAGTGATGTGAAAACTCAGGTTGAAACAACTGTATGTTATGAAATAACAGAGACAGAATTAACAGAAACAGAAAATAAAGATGGAGATTTAAATTCTGGGAACTCAGTAAAACCTGAGATGTTAAATTTTGTGGGAGACTGGCCAGTAGAACAAACTATGGGGCAAAGGGTGAAAAAAATTAAAAGATTAGAAAAACGTTTAAGAAGGGACAAAGAGGATTTAAGTATGCAAACATCTACTCTTGATTCATTAAAGATTCCAGGTGAAGATAAACAATTGGATCTAATTGATATTTATCAGGAGCTGCCACTTTCTGAAGATAAGTGTGAAGTGCCTGATATTAATACAGAAGTCAATACATCAGGATGGCTGATGGTAGGAGACTGGCCTATCCAAACCTTAGAGCAAAGACAACACAAAATGAAAAGAATAACCAAGCAAGGCTTTAGTGAGTCAGGCAGTTTAAGAAATAGTCAGCATGATGTCAGCAATGATGGTGTGAATGCAGTGTCTCTGCTGCGTGGAACATCTGCAGATGTTGAAGAGCAGTCAAAGGAGGAACGTTTTCAAGGATCTGAAATCTCAGCTTCTGAACCTGTGAGTGAGAAAAAGCCTGTACTGAATAAAAGAATGCGTAAGCATCATAAATTAGCCTTAACGTTTACCAATAATTCAGCCCTTAACAAACCAGGGGAACCATTGTCTCTGTGCAATTTGATGGAAGAAAAACCTAATGAATGTGTTGCGTCCGAGGCTACCAAATATTCACAGACAGAACCAGGAGATTTTGCACTTCTGTGGAGGCTTGAAAGAGAAATTATTTTTTCGGAGGATACAAAAGTACTACATGGCAGACTAGATGGATTTGTACCAAAAAGCATTGAAACTATTTCAGATTGTCCAGAAAAAATACCCTATAAAGTAACCTATGAGAGAAGCACATATGTAGAAGAAAGTGAACTTGTTAGTATTGATGAATCTGAGAACCTAAATATTTTGTGTAAACTCTTTGGGTCTCTTTCATTTGATGCAATAAAAGATTTGTATGAAAGATGTAACCGAGACATCGATTGGGCTACAGGGATCCTGTTAGATTCTGCTGAGAAGTTGTGCAAAGACGATGACGTTGAATGCTTGCAGGAAGCAGGAGCTCAGCTACCTGACATGTCTCTTCTTTCTAAGAGAAATGCTACATATGAAGACAGACTTGCAGACTCTGTGGCAGTCACTCAGGAAACTCTGTTTTCTAGAATTATTCACAAATCAGAAATAACAAAAGTCCCAGTTGATGATGACACTGAAAACATTTCTGACTCTTCTGCAGGAAATTGTGTGAATTCTTCAGGAGAAAAAATTAATCAGTTACTTGCTGCAAGAGAATATGTAGACAAATCAGATAATGAGATAGATACTTTGAACATGCAAACAAAAAAGAGAAATTCTGTTACACTATCAGAGAATGAGCAGCAGAGCATATCTTCAGTTAATGGAATGGATTTAGCTATTCCTGTGACTGTACCTGATGAAGTTGCAGGCCCTGCTGGTTTGGAATCTACCTGTGATGTAGAAAAAAACAAGCCTCCAGCAAACCTTCAGGAAGGCTCATTTGCAGAAGAGACATCTGATTTGAAACTAAAGGAAGACCCTAAAAGCCACAAAGGGAAATTTGAGCAGTACAAAAAAATGGATTGTAAGCCAGTCTTTTCAGTTCCAACACAAAGAGAAAAGAAAATGTCTAATCAAGATTATGGTACAATCAAGTTGCAGAACTCCATATCCCAATCAAAATCTGTAAGCATAGATTGTCTCGAACTGGTCTTACCGCCAGAATTAGCCATGCAGTTAAGTGAAATATTTGGACCTGTTGGAGTTGATACAGGTAATAACATCAGTAAGTATTTTACTTAAAAAAAACAAATTCATTATGAACTGGGAACTGATGATTGTACATACCTAACAGATCTTAATATTTGAAAGAACTTAAGAAGTTGAACAGTAAAAACAATTTTTTTAAAGAGGTTAAATAATTGATTTAGATTAGGAAATGATATGCAAGTATTCCAGGCCTTTATTTTGAGTTAAGCCACTTTAGGTCATTGTTCATAGTTCATAGTTTATTCTTGTCCTGCTACACGGGTTTGAAGTTCATTTTCTGTGAATAGTAGCTGTTAACTTATGGAGAGGTTGCTTTGAAATAAAAGCTTTAATGTTATTTTATCTTGTAACAGCAAAATCTGTTCTTACTAAGGCCCAGCACCTAGAGTAAGTAGGTAACCTAATACTATCCAACTATTTTGGACCATCTTTTATCATCGTAATCAACATTTCTATGTAAGCTGCCAAGAGATTGAAGCAGGACAGAAATGTGGGAAACAAATGTTTTCAGTGTTGGATTTGCGCTTGAATTTATTTCCTATTTTATGTTAACCTTCTGGTTCATGATGCTGTTATTTCCATCGGTTCCCTGAATAATATCAAGACTGCATTAAAGTTTACAGCATTTCTGTGCTCCCACATTGTTTAGATGGTGTAATTAAAAAAAAATGAAAGCACAAATCACATCTTGTAAAAAACAGCATCAACTAAACACTAGTATAGTAGAAGAGACCAAATTAAAAATAGCAGGATTCTCCTTAAATTTGTATGAGACTTTACCTCTGTGGTTTTGTTTTGTTTTTCCCCCTTCCGTAAGGATCACTAACTCCTGATGACTATGTGGTTCATATTGATCTGAATTTGGCCAGAGAAATTCATGAGAAATGGAAAGCATCGATTATGGTTAGTCAGCCTGTCTCTCAAGACAGGTTTATTGTTGTTCATTAGTTATTACATGGCGTGCATTAAATTACAGCATATTTATATTTTTTGACTCCAGGTACAACATTTCTGTAATATATAGAACATTTACATTGCACTTGGTCCAAACATATTTTAAAGAAATATGTTTGGACCAAGTGCAATGTAAATGTTCTATATATTACAGAAATATATATGCAAATAAAACTATGAAGCAGCTGTTTTTTTGTTTTTTTCTTTCTCCAAAGGAGAAACATTTGTATTTGTACACTGGAAGTATGATGTTACATTCCCCTTTTCACCGATTTAGACAAATTCAGCATTTCATCAGTGATAACAGGTTTTTCCCCCTGCTCTTATTCCTTGAAAATTGAAGTTCAGTGGCTAGTTCCTTCAAATAATTATTAGAAAACTTATTTTAATTAGAGCTTAATGTTGGTCATTAACACAGCATTTGCTATATTGACTGAAAGATCAGAAGCATTCCTACTGTAGCTGCTTTGGGGCAGTTAATGATTTGGGAGCAAGCTCTTGTTTGCTGACCCCTTTACCACCACCCAGAGCAGCCACTTTATTGCATGTAAATGCTGACCTGTCTGAAAAGGCTGTCTGCCCTGACCAACCATCCTGTACCTGTGACTCTGTGAATATAGGACTGCTGGATTTCTCCAGAGAAGGATTACATGCAGGAAACATGCAAGGAGAGCTGTAGATCCCCCAGCTTCACTTGGTAATTCTTCTACCTTAAGTTGTAGGATTGCTGCCCCATTGAGGATTCCAACAAATCTGGAGGCACCAGGTTGGGGAAGGAAACATGAAGGTGTGTTTAAATCTATGACGTATTAATATTATTATCAATTTTTTTATTTAGAAGCGTCAGAGGAGAGAAGAGGAATTGCACAGACTCCTTGAAGAAAGTAAGTATTGCCCTCAATTATAATGGCTCTTCTGTTAGTAAAATCAGAGAGAAACTTACCAATGCAAAGTTTTTGCTTCCGCCTTTGCCCACTGCCTGTACTGTCTTATCAGTTCTGTGGGACTGGAGATCTTCCGGAAGAGATTTTGAGAAGTGCAGGGAGAGCAGAAGTTTGCTTGCGTAATGTTGGCTGTAGCCCAGTATTCGTATCTTTGCATGCAAAACCATGTAAATAAGAGAAGTGGTGAAGGTACTCTTTAATTTTTTAAAAAGATCAAATCAACAACAATGATGATAATGTAACAGCAAACACTGTGGGCAGTAGGTAGGCTAAACTGACAAACGGCAATGTGTTTCAAGACTGAGAAGGTATTGCTTTTTTGGCAGAAAGGTATCTTCCTCCATGACTTCGTTCTTTTTGTGTATAATACAGTCCATGTTGTTTACACCCTGCCTGTTTGGCAATTTTTTAAAAGTGCAGCATCTAAGGACCACAGACTAAAAAGGAGTGGAGTAAGCAATCCATGAAGTTTTGCAACTGAGATGCATCATGAGAAACACTGTATTGTGATTGTTTTTTCAGTGCCAGAATATGTTTGTGCTTTTAATTCTGGACAAGAAGAAAAGATGGCTGTAGAAATGTTGTTTTTCACCCACAGCGATGGAAATATTCACCAGTAATACTAAAATATAATTGATAGACATGATGTATTACAGGATTTAATACAATAAATTTATTTTATTTTCCTGTAGTTTTACAAAGGGGCAACGGTCTGATTCTAATCCTTCATTTCATAATGTCAGTTGATCTTTAAATATTGCATTAATTGATTACATTAATGTTCCTTTTCTTATTTTCTTGAAGTACTTCTTTAAAAAAATAAAATAAAATGCCACATCATCTTCAACCGTTGTTTCTTCTAAAGGTCCCATGCTATTTGAGCAGCTGCATCCAGGCAAACTGGATGACATGCTCTCTCAATATGCTGACTGTCAAAGGCAAGAGAATGAAAGGCGACATACAGCTGTACCGGCTGAAAAATCAGCAGCTTCTGAAGTTTTTCCTTTCATGGATCATTGGAATGTCCAGACTCAGAAAGTATCACTTCGGGAGATAATGCGTGAAGAAATAGCTTTGCAAGAAAAGTTAACTGTGGTATGAGTGTTGCTACTACTTCTGTGTATTTCCTGTCTCTCTCAGCCTGAGCTGTGTTGTGCAAACCAGCTGTCAGTCTTCCAGTGCACTGGAGCGTTGTTCTCCTGCTCTGGTTCTCAATATGGCCCATGGATCTCACCTTCCCATTCCGTAAGAGTACCCACTAGAAGCACAAGCATCTACCGAGGATGCAGATGATGAAACGTGGATCACGCTACAAACTTGCCCCTTCTGGATGCACATCATGAAATCACACGCACATATGTTAGGAGCAGAGCTTGCATCATGACAGCACAGTGCACATTTCCTCATTCTAACAAAACTCTGGATCCAACAGAAATCTGACTAAAATAAGACTCGGGATGTTCCAGGGACAGTGTCTGATTTGGCAGAGGCTGGGTAGCGTTGGAAGGCAATCAACCTTGCCTCTGGTGTGCAGGGGCCACAAGAACGGCCCTGTTGTCATTACCACAATGGCTAAGGCTGCAGTCCTCTACAGTTTTCTGTGGATTAGGAGAAAATACATAGAACATAACAAACTAGTATGGAATAATAGAAAGTAAGACTTAGATACATGTTTCTGGTATGCTCAACAGAATAGGACTAGGTTGAAATACTTACTTTTACTAGTCTCTAGTTTTACAAATTGCTGTTATATAGTTTTGTAGGGATCAAGTTATCTGAAGGTGTTTAATTTCTTCTAGCTCAGATCTTCTTAGGTCTCCTTGCACACACTATGTTTGAGATCTCCTTGCTGATTTTCAGTAATATTCAAGCATGGGGACTGAAGGCTATTTCAAATCCCTGTCTATTTTTATAATTACCCCACTCCAAAATGAATCTGGACAGAATCTGTGGTAATACTTTTTTAAAGTACCCATATTTCCCATACGTGCTTGTAGATAAGCCCATCGGCAGATAAGCCAACCCTTGAATTTTTAACCAAAATACCATGTAAAATGCATGTCAACTTATCCACAGACGGGGTTACACACAAGTATATACGGTAATAACTGTAATGCAAAAATATGAAAAAATTGTGGTTTATTATTTGTATTGTATCTTTATAGAAATACTTTTCTAGGGATATAATTCTTTTTTTCTTTTCTTTTTTTGGGGCGGGAATTAGAAACCTTTTCCTTTCATTGCTAGAAAAGACTGTGCTGCTAAACTGAAGGAAAAACAACTTTTGGAGCTATTCCCAGCCATTAACCCAAACTTTTTGATGGATATCTTCAAGGATTACAAGTGAGCTTTTCTTTCTTAATATGATGAACATCAGTAACATAAAAGCTATTCTGCCTGAAAAATTGGTTAATACTATAAATTGATATAGTAAAACTTTGAAGCTTCAGAGCACTAGTGCTATACCTAAAACCCTCAATGGCTTGGGACCTTGAGTTTTTAGGGCAGATATGTACAGTTTGAGGCTTCAGGGCCTTAGTCTCCCCCTGAAAAAACTTGGAGGTGGCTCCTGGAACCCCTCAAAAAGTGGACCCTGAATTGTCACTTGTAATGTGATTTTAGTGGAAAAGATGAAATGCATGAATAATGTTTGCTAGGTTTGACTTTTTAATAATTAAGCGCCTCGCGTGGAACTTTTTCAGAATGTGTCCGACATGTCCCCCGTAGCCTAAAGGAAGTTTTGGGTTTGGGCCTCTAGAACTGCTTTGTCCTGTGTGCCAAAGGGTCCAGTCCAAGCACAGCCTGAGACCAATAGCAGTACAAGAGAAGCGAATATGTGTAGCTCAGGGTTGAACAGTGGAGTCCTTGGGGTTCTCTGAGCTTGGTTGTTTTCTTGCAAACATTTCATTACCCAACTGGGTAACATCTTCAGCGCTTGAGTGGAGTGGGGCAAACTCAAGGACTCCACAAATAGCAGTAATGGCTGGGTCTTGGGTTGCAGTGCTCCAGCTGAAACCCTTGCCCTGTCTAGGCTTGTTGGGCACCAGATCTGAAGTTGCCTTCTTTTCTTCCTTTTTAATCATGTATAAAATACTAAATTACCACTAGATTTGCCGATTAATGTTTTGCATTGATTTTCTGAACTGCCCTGGGATGCTTTTGGATTGAAGTGTAGGATACTGTACATCTCGGACAAATAATACAAAAATAAGTATTTCCTCCCAGGGTGAAAATAATATTGGGTAGGCTAAACTAACCAAGCATATCTGCTTTGTAGACATTCTTCAAATGTTTCCAGTGACAAGTGTATTCACACTTGTCATTGTTTGCTATCTTGCTGGGTGTTTGTTGCCGGCAATTTAGAGTGAAACTCATAAACTAAGAATGAATAATGAAATTAAAAGTCAAGTATTAAGACTGATGTTCCCCTACTTCTTCCTCTTCAGTATTTGTTACAATTGGATTTTATGGTTTTATTTTCTGATAATATGTCTGACATGATTCCTTTTGCTTTTTTTAATTTGTTAGTTATTCTTTGGAACAAACTGTCCAGTTTCTCAATAGCGTTCTAGAGGCAGATCCCATAAAAACAGTTATAGCTAAAGAACCTGCTCAGGGCGCCACCCTTTCTCCTGGCAGCGCTTCAAAGACCCAAGAGAAGAAGGTAAAGGCTGTTTTGCACAACCATCGCAAACGTATTTTCTGAAAAGAGCTTTACAAATACTAAGGGAAGCTCACTTTCCATGGGACTACGCAGGATGGCTTCTTCTTGGCTGTTCCTGAGCTAAGCAAATAAGCTTTGCTTTGAATCATGTCTAAATGCTTTGTTGTCAATCACAGGCTAGGAAGTCCAAAGAACTGGACGATATTCTCAATGAGAAGGGATTCCAAGACTTTGAATATCCAGGATATGACGACTTCAGGGCGGAGGCCTTTCTTCACCAACAGCGCAGGCAAGAGTGTCTGAGAAAAGCTGGAGAAGCATACCGCATGGGGATGAAGCCAGTAGCAGCGTTTTATGTACAGCAGGTAACTTTATTTTAAGCAGTCACGAAGCAGCATTTCACCAGATTGTTGGCATGGAACTACCCACAAAGGCATCCATTCTAGAAAGCCATAAATTGCATGTAAACGTGAGGAAGTATGACAAAGTTTCTCAACTTTTGTAATACTGCGGCTCTCAAAAATTATTTTAAAATGGCTATAGTCCTCCTCCCTTGAATAAAATGAATGATTTCATGGTGGCACTAGAGGTGAGGACCAAATAAATACTGTATAGTACTTTGAATAAATAAATTTTAATTTATATATCACAAGGGTTCTCATTTTTCAGTACCTGATCTGCCCACTGTAGTCTTGCTATCAAACTCACTCCTCCTTTGCTGGGGCAAGCTTACCAATGACTTGCACAGGGCAAAATCGCACGACCTCCTTGCCCCAGCATGAGGACAGCCCACTAACCATTTCCAGAGGGCATGTCCACATGCTGTCACCTGCAAATGAGGCGGTCTGAGGATCGCTTTAGGTGTCTCAATCTGCAAGTGGTGTTTTCCTTATAATCCCACTTTCAGATTCTACATGTTGACTATGTAGAATGCATTGATGTGCACGGGGGACATACATGAAATGAAGTGCACCACGTTGCAAAGCTTGTGGCTCTAATTTGTTTGCCTAGTCCCTGGCCGCTTCTCCAATCCCAGTCCTCTATTGGCCGCAAGGAAGGCCAGACTTCCCAGCTCCGACAACTTCTCTTTTTTTTTGTTGTTGTTTAAATGGTTCGCTGAGCAGTCAACCAATCAATGTAGAGACCACGTAACCTTGAAAGAAATTTGCTTATGCCCAGCATCGAGCATACAGTGGAAGCTGTAACTGAAAGAACTTGGCTCCTGTGTTTTGTCTTCATTTTTTTTTCTTTCTTTGTTGATCATGCAGTTCACGGTCCTGTTGATCCAGGTGCTGTTGATCCAAGCAACAGTCAATGCAATGGCCACCCACCCCATTCTGGGCTCTGCTGATGCCTCTGGATCAGCCGTATTCCCAGTTGCTTGTTTTACAGCCGCTGCAGGAACTGGGGGGAGAAAAGGGGGGGAAAACCAGAACCAAGCTGACTCCGCTGCAGCTAAGATTCTAGTCAGTTCAGCGTTAATTGTTGATGCTTGTGAAAAGAGGTGCAGGCCAGAACCAAGATGGGCAAGGAAAATAAAATGCACACTGGCATCACAAACACTGAGCTGGGTTCCCCAAGCTCCGAAGCAAGAGGGAGGGGGTGGCGAGAGACTGTGCAGAGGCCAGCCAGCAGGGCCAGCAGAGCGGAGAGCAGAATGCCCTGAAGAGCAGCCTCAACCACCAAACTGAGGCACCTCCGCTTCTGCCATTCTGCACAGGCTGAAAGGGCTCCTCTTCATTCTCCACGCACCGTTTCTTGATGTGTGAACTCTCCCTACTTTACTACAGGGCTAGTTGTATTCAGTTGCATTAGAAATGCAGTCTTACCCAGGTTGCTCAGATCGATATGCAAGAAGAGGTGTAATACTTGCTGCCACTGTCCTGAACTCCCACTTGCTGCCTAAAAAGTAACGTGCATTGTTCTTAATACTGGCAGCAGCATTAAGTGCCGGCCTCCCCGCAGAGATGTGGCAAAGGGGATGCTGTGAGGGCAGCAGGCTTGCAGATGACATATTTAGCCTGTGGGTGAGCTCCCGGCCAAAATAGGAAACAAAATCCAAGCAATTTTTGACCGCCTCCCGGTTTGCCTGCAGAGCTTGCTCAGGTTTGAAGAGTTTTTTTTAACCTGCCCTCTAAGCTGCTTGCGACCCTCCAGGGGTCCTGACTTCAGAGTGCGAGAATCGCAGAAGTGGGAGGCTCTTCTTCCCCAGGAGATCTTTTGAAGGCTTTGGTACGCAGAGCTTGTAGGCTCTGCAGAAGTCGAGTCACAGATCTGCTTTTTGAAACCCATTCTTTAATTTATTCATTATTGTGGTTTTAAAAACAGAAATGCTGATTTGTAAATTTTGAAATGTTACTCTCACGAAGCTGACACTAAAAGGGTTCTAACGTGAACGACTTTTTTATGTGTTTTGAGAATGCAGGAACAAGACACTCTTTTATTTATTAATTTGATACACCTCTGACTAAAGAAGACTTTCACTGGTTTTAAATGGGAGGTGTTGGTGGTGCTGGTCTTCCTTGTTAGAGCAGGTAGCCTTGTTAGTCTTCCCTACTGTCAGGGATTTTCGCCGGGGAAGGAGAATCTTCCCCGGGTGCCATCCCTTTATGATACACGATATAGACGAGCATCAGGGCATGTCTTGCCGTGTGAGAGAGAATCTCCCATGCCATTGTCACAGACCAGTATCGAATCTCCCTTTAGTTTTTCAAAGACATGGTTTTGTTCTTTGGGTTTTTTTGGAATGCATCCTTACCTTGCACTTTCTAGATAGTGCTTTTAAACCATAATTCTGTACTACGCAGAATAAAGGCAGACTGTGGTTATTCTCTACCAGTTGCTCTTTGTGTTCAGTCCCGGATAACATAATGTTTAATTCCCTCTATTTTTCATTCCTACCTTCCTTATTCCTATTCCTGCTTCATACGGTTATGTTGATTTGCCTCTTCCTGAAACCCTCCTGATCAGGCTCTCCTTGATCTAACTGACGGCTCATTGTTCTGAGGCACTGAGAGGTTTCAGCTCTTTGCAAGTGGTGGAATGCTGCTCCGCTTAGCCAGTATTGCATTTAAGTTGCTGATGTGTGTTTGAATAAAGGGTCAGCTTCATGAGCAGAAGATGAAAGAAGCAAATCATGATGCAGCACAGCAAATCTTTGAGAAAGTAAATGCCTCAAAACTGCCTGACAACCTTTTGGACCTGCACGGTCTTCATGTGGATGAAGCTTTGGGTCATCTGTGCAGAGTCCTGCAGGAGAAAACCAAAGGTAAAGTAATGTTTCTACGTACATAAATCAATCCTTCTGGAGCATAAAAATGAAAATAAAGATATTAAACGTTATTGGAATAATCGCTACGGCACAGTTGCGTTATGGAGTGGGTTAATGGTAGGTATTTGCTTTGCCTTTAAAACATCTTGCCATTTTGTTCGGAGGATATTGAATAGCTGAACTGAAGCAGATTCTGATCCGAACAGGCAAAACTGGGTTAGAAGGATGTTTACCACTACGGCATTTTCATTTGTATGAATTAGTCATGACTATTTTCAAAATGTCCATGTTCAAAGCTCTTAAATGTGTTCATTTTTAAAAATGCTGAATCTCTGAAGAGAGAACATTATCATTCTTGTGAAACAGAGCGCAGCCTAGCAGGTGGTAAGCCATATCTCTACGTGATCACAGGAAGGGGAAACCATAGCCAGGGAGGAGTCGCTCGTATCAAACCAGCAGTTATGAAATACCTCACCAGCCGCAAGTTCAGGTGAGTTCAACATCTTGTAACTGACAATTTGCAGTCTACTTTTAACCACTTCAAAACTGATGCTTGTTTTCTAGAAAGACTAAATTGATAGTTTAGGTGACTCTATACTGCTGCTTCCTTGCACATGCTGTTGTGTCTTCAATGTGCCCTCTGTTTACCAAGTTTTTAGGAAACGGTTGTGCCATTGCTCACGTGGTGACTGGTCAGTTAGTCTGATACCAATATTCTTTTCACTTGATTGTGAAAGATAAATGTGAGAAACATGAGGAAATAAACCTAAAAATATGATATTGTGAAACTGGTGGAAGAGTTAGAGGTGAAATCTTGAGCAGAGATTTAACAGAATAAGTCTGTGAATTAATCTGAAAGACAGCAGATACACAAGGACTGTGGGGGGGAAATCCTACTTTGTAATTTTTGTTGTTGTTTCTGTTTCCATGTTGAAAATTCTCTTTCTGTTACATGAAGGAAGAGTTGCTTTATTTTATGGTAATTGAAGAATTTGACAGGTGCAGAAAAGCTTGTGCGTAACCAGGGGGATTTTTTCTTTGTAGTACAATAGATCTCCATCCCACTGCATCCGACTGCTTTTGAAAGTTATCCCTGTTTTTCAAAGTGATGTACTGCCTTGTGAGTGTTCAGAAAGCACAAAGCCTCAGAGCATCCATAAAAGCACAGAGCAAGCTGAATGATTCATGTGATTCCAACCTATTTTTTAAAATGAAACCTAGCTTTTTATAATTGCATATTGTTATTCCAGCCACCATCAAAAACTAGCTGGACTCCAAAACTTTTGTCCATGTATGGAATAAACTTTCCATTCAGAAAAGGGCCAGCTTGATTATTAAAAATTGCTGAAGATGAAGAGATCATAGAAGTAATGAAAGTTGAACTACCGTAAGTTGTGTGTTTTAATAGATCAGTGATTGTTGACGACACTGTGCCTGTCAAACCATGCTTAACAAGCTGAAGTGGTTTCTCATTTCAGTTGGATGCAGGAAGCTAGCTTGAACCCTGACCCCCAAATAATTTTAAAAAGTGGCTGGAGGGACGTCTGGAAGTAACAGAATTTTGAGGGAGAATGAGTGCCCTTCATTTCAGAAAAACAGTCCTTTGCCCACACAAAAGGAAAGAGAAATCCGCAAGAAGACAGCTGCTGATATTTTATTTCCTCTTTCTTTTTTATGTTCTCCTTCTTTCTTTGTAAGAAAACATATAGATGGGTATAACACTATCAATATTCATGGCAGCCTTTTCACGATCTGCTCTTTCTCTGCACAACAACCATTGCACCTATGATACTTTCTAAAATGCCAACTGTAGCCACAGTCACCCCCCCCCCCAAAAAAGGTTGGGAATCTCATAGTGTTCGTGAGAAAAATGAAACTTAACCCAAAGATTATGTTGTTCCTGCACAGCCTCTCATATTCATGGAAGCATGAGAAGTGCTAAAGAGCTTCTTGTTATAACATCATAATTGAAGCAGAAAGAATAATGGCTTTTTTCCTTCTATCCACAGTTGTTTGAATTCAGCCTTAAGTCATTATTCATAACATTATATTTAAGTTAAATCTCTTCCTGATCTGCAGGTTCACAGAAATAAAGCCGGGCTATTTGAAAGTCTTGCTGGAATAAAAGAGTGTCACCAAGAAGATTGCAAAAGCTGATGTTAGTGAAGTAGAAATGGCTTCACATTTTAATGGGATAAATGTGTTACTGTCAAGAATGATGTTTCATTGGAAAGGGTTTAACATTTAGCAGGTGTTTTTGTCAATGTGTTTTCCCCACCAAATCTAAATGGTGTGTGTACGTATGTTTTAATGGAAAGTACTTTTATAAGCCTTCTGCTTATCAAGAAGTGCACCTGATAACTATTTTCTGAACAAGAAATAAATTTTCAAAGGGAAGCAAAGGTTCCAATCTGAAACATTCTGCCCTTTTCAGATTTAACAAATATCCATAAATGCCTTGAATACTGTGCTTTTTAAAGTGGTCTCTATTACCTTTTAAAATAACTCTTGAAATTATGGCTGAGGTTATATCAGATCCTTTGAAGGATTCTACACGGTTTCAAGTCATAAGAGCTAACAATTATTTGCATCCTGTGTATTTTTCATAAGAACCCTTTGCCCTCTTCCAAAAGGAAGAATAAAATTAAGCTACATTTGTTTTCAGTGCAGAAAAATATAATAGCTGTATCTCAGCTTTTCAGCTTTTTTTTCTTCCTATTTTTTCTCTAATACATTGAAGAGTTGACAGTACTGTCTGATGGGACAGTAAAATTTTGTTGTGAAAGAAGGGTAGCCGATTCACGTAGAGATTTGATCTTTACTGCTTATTTTTATAACTGTCATTTGCTAGAATCAGTGGCCTTCTAAAAGGACCCTGTTACTGCAACTCTAATTTCACTACTCTGTGAGCTATTGATACTCAGACACAACTCAAGATGAGCAGGGGGTCGACTGAGTCTGTCAATATTAGGAACTCCCATAAGCGCAATAAGGACTGAACCAAGAATATGGAAGTGTATGTTCAGATACACCTTTGCATTGTGACTGCTAGATGTGTGAGTGAGCCTCTGGACTGGAATGGTTATTTCCAACGCTTCTGAAAAAGAAATATATGGAAACCCCATATTCTCCATTCTAAGTCCATAAAAACGATACATGTCCTATTAAAGAAAACACCAGCATAGGCTATATGACAGCATATGAAAGATTACCAGCTCTGGGCACGTACACATCGTTACGTGTGACACAAGTAGAAGAATTCCTCTGTGGCAGCTATTCCCATTATTCTGCATCAGCTGAACTGTTCCTTGTCATTCTGCCATGAATTTACACCAGTCTTGTTCAAATTAGGATCTGGGAAGCCAAAACACTGTAGTGCATCTATGCAGGTCTCGGTGGTATCACTGGGACCTGATTTTAAAATCTTTTCTTAGACTTGATGTACATGTAGTGTGTTTTTTAAAAAATGGGTGAAATCATTGTAGGGAATATGTGACTATTAATGGTATTTTTAAAACACATTTTTGAACAGGAAAACATAGGATGATGCCAGAACTAAATTTCTGCTATGGTATTCAGTTCCTCTCTACCAAACAAATTAATACATACAGAAATATTTTTAAATTTATTATTTTCTTGAGGAAAACTGAATGTACAATTATATGTTCCTTCTTTCAAAATAGAGCAATTTTCTTTAAAATAGTTTTCTCTTTTCACTAAGCTTTTTTTTAAAAAAAATACAGATTTTATGCAAGCCCGCATGATGAGTTTCAGATATTTTTCAGATCCTTAAAACTGCATTTCAGTAAAATGTGGAACTAAGAGCAAGAAAGGAATAAACTATTGCAAACAGTATTATCCCATCAAACTCATATTTGAAATAGATTGGTTTACAATTGTCCTAATTTTTCAAAAAGCATGATTATGCATACGGGTCTGTCTTGCCCCCATTGGTGCAAGGACCGTAGGGGCAAGGTAACTTTAATATAATGGTGTAAAGGGTGTCCTGCCATTAGATTTTGTTTTTTCCCACTTGCTCTGATAGAGCTGCAGAAAACTGAGATATAACTCTGACGATGGAGCCTCACCCCGTTCCCATCCTGCCTTGCCTTAGTGTGAAGCTGGGAGGTTCTGTTCTTTGGGGAGGTGGTTTTGCTGTTTAACGTAGCCTTTACAAGGAGACAGGGCAGGCAAGGCACGTGTACGCTCTTCAGTGCCGTTGCTGACAGGGTTGGCTCCCCGGGAAGAAAGGGAAGGGAAATGTGTGAGTAGCCCTTCCACCTGGGATCTTATTTTTCCAGGTGGCGAAGTTCTGAGGATAATGATGAAGAGTCCTTGTTGGGACATAGTTAGCACTGAAGACCCAGATAGGTCTTCTTTTTGAGTGGCTTCAAATTATTTCACTCAAGTTGCTTTTATGGAAGGTGGACTCCTTAGGACCACATTATGACCCAGATGGGATTAAGAACTGGGGCTCTTTTAGTCAGGAAGAATGGCATGCTTTTCAACCAGACTCAGCGGTCATCAGTTTGACCCCAGATTTCTCCCCATGATTAATACCTTATTCCACAGGTATCAGGAGGTGTTTCCCTTTCTCCACAACCCACGGCCATTTGACAAAATTCAGCCTTTCAGACAGTTATATTTTTATTGTACACTTTTTTTTTTTTTTTTACTTAGTTGGAGTTTGCTTGCTTCTGTTACTATAGCTGGGACAGGGCTCTGTCCTCCCAGGGATATATCTTAGAAGACTTTTGTGACCTTTCTTATCACAGTGAGTAGCAGAGGACAATGACAACATTTTCCATCCACTGTCAATCACAAGAAAGCTCCAGTTGCCTCTTGGTTTGTAAATACATGGGATTATTGGGGGAGGGAGGCCAAGGGTCAAATAGTTTTACAGATCAACTATTTTCTAGGTTTGAAAACCACAATAATTGGCTGTCGGCCAGAGAATGTTAACTGGGGAAAAAAGTCTGATTGATTAAAATAATTCTGTTGCCCACCCCCAATTCACTAAGAAATGTGACGTATGTTTGTAAATTTTTGTACATGTGTGTTGAACAAAACAATTATTCGGGTATCTGCTTACTTCATTAATGTAATTGTTGAAACAATGCCTCTTTAGTCAAGGCTTATGTGTTTCTAATGAAATACTGCATCTTGTAGCGTGAATAACGTTGATCATACACATCACACACACAGAGAAGTAACATTTGTATAGGAAAACTAAATATGGGAAAGATTCTAAGTGAGTTGCTTTTAATATGGCAAAATGAATGGCAGATTTTCTTTTGGGACATTGTGGAATTTAACTTCATTTATGTTAAGATTCTGTGTGGAACATTAATGTGCCTTTGTGCAAATCCTTCTTCTTCAACAGGAGCTACTCAAGATGTTTTATATTGTTCAAATTGTCTGCAAAAGGTTTAGAAGGTTATTACGCAAATAAAATTCTGCGATTAAAAAACTTAAGAAAAATGTATATTATAGTAATTGAAATCTGAAAAGATATTAAGGGAATTCTACTCTTAAATACATTGCCAGCGCTTCCATAATTATATTATTATTTTACTGAGCTCCAGTAAAAGCATTAATATTGTGAGACCTTAATTTAACCTTACATTGAGGAAAAAGATAAAATTTTCTGTACCCATTTTTATTATCAAACATATCTCAGATTAGCCTCAAAAATATGAATGAAGTAGGGTTTTTGCTTATGATGCAAGATTTGCAATATAGGTTATATTATTGGGGGGGGGGGAATTTCTCAGGGCAGTAGTTTCTATGAGAAGTGCCTATGGAAAATAAAGCCTTCCCAGACATTCTTTTCAGCAGATATAATCGTGACTAAATATTACTAGCATGAAATGTGTGCTGTTAAATTTCACAGATGTTTGTTACTTGCCTTTACTGAGGAGAATTTACATTGAAATACTGAATACTATAAAGACAATGTAAAGTAAAGCATTAAATATTAATGTACAGAATACATCTTACAACTTGTCACATGGATTGATATGAATAGGTGATCACAGACATGGCTTCAATAATTGGTGTAGTCATAACTGCTTTTGGTATGACTGCCAGTTTTGGAAATGCTATTAGTGTGATTACTTATATCACATAAAATGTGATTACTTATATCACATACTAATATTTATTCATGTGGACCTATGCTACAAGTGAATGTTCAGAGTGATGAAATTATTACTGATTCTTTTCCTTTCAAGAGAAGAAAACCTTCCAAGTACTGAACAGGAAATAATTTTACCCTCAAAGTGCACGAAAGAAACATCCAGTATTGCATCACTCACTGTCATATTATGGGACATACATAACTGAATTCCTTTTCTTTTTGTTAAGTGTACAGATCTCATCTAATTCCCTATCATTTTTATACTGTTTGGTTGTTAGGACATGGAATTTTTTAATGAAGAATTTCGAATAAAATACTTTAATGAAGAAATTACATGTCACTTATTTAAACATTTTTCATTTCCCAATTTTCAATGAAACAAAACTCACATTTGCATCAGAGGATTATGCTTCCTATACATAAGGAAAGAAGCTGATTGTTCAGAAATTAAAGCATACGTCCAACTAAATACAGAGCCAGATCCTGAGCAAACGGTTCTAGTTTATAGCCTGCAAAATACGCTTTTGCCTCTAGATGGATTACTTTTGCATTCGTGGGGAGCATTCAAGATGTGAAGCTGCCATTTGCAAGTTCAAATTGTATAGAGCACGAGCAGGTCGTCTCCTTCAATAATAACTAGCACTCCATCCCTCAAAAATTCAAATAATCAGAGAGAGATTGGTACCTTTCAGTTTCTGGAGGCTTTTCAAAAAAACTCAGAGATTGCATCTTTTTCTGCTTTAGGAACTGGGAGTAGGGGAGCATGATAAACCTATTGCACAGATAGGTTCAGGTTTAATTCCCTGATCTCAGAATTCCCAGAGCATATAGCACCAAAGTGTTTTGTACAGTAAGTGGAAAAATCACTGAAGGCCTTGTGTGCTGCCCAGAGAGCTGATTCTTGAAAGTCAGCAGCATTAGAGATTTTCCCCACTCAAAGTCTCTAGTCCGAGAGACTTTCCCCACTACCGAGTGAAACTGCTGTCCGTCTGTCCTTGAATTCGCAGAAAACTATGTTAGTGTGACATTTTCTGCCCGCGTTACTGATCCCATTCTTGGGTCTAGTGCACGTGAGGGGAGTCGCCGCCAAAATGGGACCATCCTGATCACACCCATGCAGCACATGACAAGCAATGCAATTGGTTGAGTCCTCCACCTTTACTGCCCTTCCTCTTCATCAAGTCACCAGCTGGTGGGAAGTCATGATATAGCTGCAGGAAAGGGGGATCTAACCCCAGAGCTTGGTCAAGCATTTTTAGACTGCCACGTGAGTGCCTGCTGACCCATTCCAACTTGAATGAAGCAGTGTTTTTTTCCTTTTGTTTAAATCAGTAATGACAAAGGGAACTTTGTTACTTGCAGGGTTTCTTGAGAAACTTCCATAATTTCACTTGCAGCCTTGCACAAAACTAAAAAGGCAACAGAAAATCCACAGCACAAGCTGAATGTAGAGTACGAGAAGCAGAAATTGCAGCCTTTGTGTCTCTTCCAAGACTATGTTCAAAAGCAACATGAATTCACCCTTACCTGGTGACAGCCGTCCGTTACCTCGTTGAAGAAACTTGGAAAGATGCGTGAAAGTGGGCATCTGTTCTGAGAGAGAAGCTCCCTCTAGGATCACCAAGGCTAGGCAGACCCCCGCCTTCCGGTGGTACGAGTTTCCTGCACTTTCATACAGAAGTAAATCAATCTGAGAAAAATGGCACCCTCCACCACTCTTGTGCAAATCCATGGGGGGGAGGGGGCACTCTTGTGCCAATTTGAAAAGTGTCATAGAGGCCTTTTCTAGTCAAGCAGGAACCCTGGTGACAAGTCCATGTAGTTTTCTGGGCAAACAAAACACGCCAAGTATTTTTAGTGACATTTGCAGACAGCTGTGCCTGGTTCTTCCAGGAGATGGTAGCAGAATGACGGCAGGGAATGCTGACCAGGGACTGCTGGGGAAAGAGCCTGCTCCCGTGAATCGGAAAAAGCCAAACAAGCACGTCGGTTTCCACATGTTCCTAGACACCTGACATTGTACCTGATAGAACAGATCCACAATAGACCTTGCCCACCTTGAGGCTGCTGCTGGCCGATGTTGGAAGAAGAGGGAAAACATCGTAACGGTGCAGCCAAGGACGATGCTTCTAGGCTGGGGGTCGGATCAGATGAGTGCCGCATTGTAGGGAAAGGGGGGGCTTCGCTTTTGTTCAAAAAGGGTAGGCTGCGGCTACGTGCAGCTGGGGACACGGCCTGGCCTTACTGAAGACAGAAATACACGTCTTCGGTTACTCTGAATAAAACGGTCACCTTCCTGACACCTCATCTGCCCTTCTGGGCTCGGGGAGAAGCATCTGGACACCCATCTCAAGCTTAAGAGCCGCGTCCGCTCTGAACTGTCTCTCTCCTAACAGGTGTATTCAAAATAGGCTACGGCAGAGTTTGTGTAATCCTTAGTACAGTGGAGGCCACTAACATTTTGGGAACATGTTCTGCTTATTTGCATCGTGGTTGCCGCAATGAAAGTGAACCGTTACAAAATTTCCATTGACTAGAAAACAAACCTGTCTCCCTCCTCAGCCCTTCAGGTGGGGGTGTTTGCAGGGCATGGTTAAAAAAGTCAAGATGGCAGCCATAGCAGTACAATTAAAGCGCCTCTGCTTTGTGTGTCTCGTGTGTGCGACACACTTGCAATGTAGGCAAAAAACAGCTGCAATTGCAGCATTGTGATCGCCACCTTGACTTTTGGTTACCCCTTGCAGATGTTCCTGCCTTCAGGAATTTTCTCGCTCACCCCAACTTAACGTTGTAATTTTAATGTCAAGAAAGCACACTTCTAAATGAAGTCCTGGGTTGCAGCCACCCACCGTTTTTATTTTCTACGAATGCCCATGAAGCTTACATGGGATTCAGACAGGTGTGTAGATAAAGGCTCTAGCAGCTGCTGGCGGTTTGCTTTGCACTGGGCTGTCTTCCCTTAACATAATCACAGTCACAATCATGCAAATTCAATTCAAGCGGGGTACGGAATCTGATTGCCCACAAACATCCCGTTGGTCATGCCTGCCGTAGTATTTGTGGGTTTTCACTTTCCTAAGGTTTTTCTTTTAGGCTAATTGTCCTTTTTAATCAAAACTGCAAGAAAGGATTATGTATACAAATCTGAATAGCTCTCTCTTGAATTTAGAAAGGCTCAAATTTTTAAAATTAATTCCTCCTCAGATTTTTATATCCAAGGACCTACTTTCCAAAAAACCAATTTGTGAAAATGTAATGCTTTGGAGATGTGTTCTACGGTGCAAATGCATTCTTTATGGTGAGTTCACTAGAGATGGCCGACTGCTCTATCCGGCGGGTTTCCCCCCCCTGAATTCAGGAAGCTCATTTGTATATAGGTTAACCATTACATGACCAGCTCCTGTAAATCCAGTCCCAATTTATAGCTGCCTCCCTCAAATGGCACATTACATATTTTTCATCCCAGAGTCACATGCTAGTTCTTCCTATCATTTTCAAATCAATTTTACTAAAAGAGCTTAGTTCTCAAATC